ATATGCCATCCCATTAATGCACAGGACTATTCTGGGTGGTTTACATAAAACAAAAAAATGAATAAAATGCCTGAAAGATCGGCAGGACCCTGATGGCGCAAGGCATTGGAGAGGAGGAGCAGGAGAGGAAAAGTCAAAAGAGGCTGCTTTTGAAGGTCTCTTGAAACAAAAGCATCTTCAGCAGCCTCTTAAAACCAGGAAAGGAGCATATTAAGCATATTACAGCTTGAAACTACTGAAGAGAAATCACTTACAAACCATATAAAAACCCAAGCAGTTATATACTAAAAGCCGCAAAAGAAAGATCTTTGATTGAAGGACCACATGGATGGGGACAGCCTGGTCTGTCATGGTAGGGAGCACCAAAGAGCGAGACCAGCTAGCAAAATAACCTGTCTCTTCTGTCCTCATTAAGCATGTCTGTGAGGGTGGCTAGATGGAGACCTTATGTATACAACAAGTTCCTTAGGTTAAAGGAATAAGGGTATTTTCTTTGCTGTATCTGAACCTGCCTTTTCAGTTCTCAGCAGCTTCGACACTGCCTAGCTGGACAGGTCAGTGAGCTATGAAGTACAGTACTGAGAAGTCAGAAGTTTGATTCCCCACTGTGTAGGAGAAGAGCCAACCTGTGTGGCCATGGGCAAGCTACACAGAGCGCGCCTATAAAAAGGGAACAGTAAACCACTTCAGAGTACTCTGTAACTAGAAAAACCTGGGAAGGATTGTCATAAATTCAAAATGACTCAATGGCATGTAATAATTATTATTGCTTCCACATTCTCTGGTTATAGTTAATTCCCACCACATTCTCTGGTTTTAGTTAATTCCCACCAAACTAAGAGTACATGTATTACAGAAGTAAAGTATATCGACTGGAATTAATATGAAAGTAAATTAGGGCTGTTCTCGTTAGGTAGTGTGAGGAGAGTACCTCAGACAGCAGATGCTATGGGCAGAGAAGTGGTAGGGAGGCGCTGGAGTAAGAGGAGCATTTTCTCCATGCACCAAACCCTTCTGTCCCCATGTACAGCTAGAACTAAAGTGAAATTGAACTGCCATTTTGACTGATTTCTGTACATTGAACAGTGGAAGTGTTTTTCCCTCAGCCTGCAAATTGTCTTGAGCCAGCCCTGGCGTCAACTCCTGTTGTTTGAAAACATTCTTGCAAATTCAATCTAATGTCAGTTGTTTCTTGATGGCCTAAAATTCTGGTCCATGAAATGGTTTAGAGCCACATCTGCACTGTAAGATAATAATTTGGCCACACTCTGTCAAAAAGATCAGGCTAGCAGAAATGAAATTGCTACTTCCTTTCCTCAGTATTTCTTGAATATTGCCCTCTATGTGTACACTAATAGCATAACAATAATTAACAATAGTTCATATCATAATAATATGCTATCATATTTGTTTAGCCATCATGAATTTATTTGCAAAGAATACAGGGAAGTGCAGATACAGGACTTCATTTATTGAAGATTGAGACCTGGATCCTGATTGCTTACCCGCAGAATCTATTTTTAGTGATGATTTTCAGCCTATAAACACATGGAGCAATCAGATTTGGGTGCCTATGATCATGTGAAGAGTAGTTCCACGATTAGTTTCAATCCACCTTACCAGGGTGCAACTACACAGTGAAGGAAATGAGAATTCACGTACATTCACTAGATGTGAAATCACACCTGTGATTTTGGGTCTCCCTGAGTCTGTTAACATCAACTGGAGACACAGGGAGAGAAGAGGAAAGTCTTGACTGTAGCTTTTTGTAGCTCTATTAAAGGCCTGTAGGAGGTGTGGTTACAAGGGAACTTACCAATAAACAGTAAACAAGCCTTCCCTCCTCTTGTTTCTACCTCCCATTAGCTTTTTTTCTTGTGTTCCTAGCACTGGCACCAAGATGTTTTAAAAAGAAGAGTCTTGCCTGTAATCATTATTTCAATATGTTACAGAGAAGCACCCTTTTAAACTCTGGAGCAGTCTCCAGTTGATAATGTCTTTTTATTTTCTTTGTATATAGCAGCTAAATGCTTTTGGAAATCACGATAGGGGCTATAGTCAGCCCTGTGAGTTTTGCTACTCTCAAACAAAAGAAGGAGAGAGAGAGAGAACGGAAAGAGCATTGCATTTTAACAACACTTTTATTGGTAATCGAATCGTGGGCTTGTTCTAACAGAAGGAGGCTTCATGTGCCATCCCTAAGCTGTTAAGAAACCAGAGAAAAAGAGAGAGGCTTTTGCTTGCCCTTAGCTGTTTAAAGTGAAGAATAGATTTAAGGAACTAGATCTGGTGGACAGAGTGCCTGAGGAACTATGGATGGAGGCTCGAAACATTGTACAGGAGGCAGGAACAAAAACCGTTCCAAAGAAAAGAAAATGCAAGAAAGCAAAGTGGCTATCCAACAAGGCCTTACAAATAGCAGAGAAGAGAAGGGAAACAAAATGCAAGGGAGATAGGGAAACTTACAGAAAATTGAATGCTGACTTCCAAAGAATAGCAAGGAGAGACAAGAGGGGCTTCTTAAATGCACAAAGCAAAGAAATAGAGGAAAATAATAGAAAGGGAAAAATCAGGGAACTGTTAAAGAAAATTGGAGATATTAAGGGAACATTTTGTGCAAAGATGGACATGATAAAGGACAAAAATGGCAGGGACCTCACAGAAGCAGAAGACATCAAGAAGAGGTGGCATGAATACACAGAGGAATTATACCAGAAAGATCTGGATATCCCGGACAGCTCCGATAGTGTGGTTCCTGACCTTGAGCCAGACATCCTGGAGAGTGAAGTCAAGTGGGCCTTAGAAAGCATGGCTAACAACAAGGCCAGTGGAGGTGATGGCATTCCAGTTGAACTATTTAAAATCTTAGAAGATAACGCTGTTAAGGTGCTACACTCACCTTGGAAAACTCAGCAGTGGCCAGAGGATTGGAAAAGATCAATCTACATCCCAATCCCAAAAAAGGGCAGTACCAAAGAAGGCTCCAACAACCGTACAATTGCACTCATTTCACATGCTAGCAAGGTTATGCTCAAAATCCTCCAAGGTAGGCTTCAGCAGTATATGGACCGAAAACTCCCAGAAATACAAGCTGGATTTCGAAGGGGCAGAGGAACTCGAGACCAAATTGCTAACATGCACTGGATTATGGAGAAAGCCAGTGAGTTCCAGAAAAACATCTACTTC